GAGTGGGTCCTGAGTTTTTCAGACCAAATGCCCTGTGATTATTTTGTGCCAGATGTGAAAAATGTGAACAGTTTAAAAGAATGTTAAATGTTAACAGTTACCGACTTGTGCTGATACCAGTACCCTCTACAGGAAGGAAGGAAGGAAGGAAGGAAGGAAGGAAGGAAGGAAGGAAGGAAGGAAGGAAGGAAGGAAGGAAGGACAGGAGGAAAGGGAGTCTAAATTTACATGAGAATGTGCCAGATTTTAGCACAGCTGAAGATAGGTAAAATAATTGACATGAAATGTCCACCTAACTCTGAATTATTTTTAATTTGTGAATTAAATGCTGGTGATTCTCTAATAATCCAAGAAGTGGGCTTGCTATCACTCTTCTCCACATATTATATGAGTGGGAAGTTAACTCCTTGGAATTTCTAGCTCAGTAAGTTAACTCTTTGGAATGCCTAGTATGGAACTAACGTGGATATTAGCTGATTAAGACAAGCACTCTGCCTCCGGGAATTACAAATAGCTAAGTATCACTTAATGAAGGGCTGGCATAATGAGCTAAAAAATGATAATCATATCTTAAATGACCATATTTTTTTTCAGCAAAATTTTGCTTCCTTTATTTAAACCCTTGAAAGTCCTTAATTTATTTGGAGTTTTATGGCTTATTCTGCTATCAATGAACAGTGACTGTCCACTGAGTCCAATCTGTCACCAAGTTTCTTCTACCTTTCTTTCAAAATGTGCTCTAAACTCAGCCATCTCTTTTAATTCTCAAATCCAGGGTCTCATTGGTTTGCCTCTGTACTATGTAAAAAGCCTCTTCCATTCTCTTATCTGTGAGCATTCAGGACTATTACACAAAATTCATACCATTTTCATCATATTACTGTCTTACTTACAGATTTGGGAAACTGTCTTGCTTCTGAGCAAGTATAAACACTTTTCTTGAACTTCTGTGGTGAGCTCAGTAACTCTAGTCTCCTGCTATTTGTACAATGGTCAGTGTAAGTCTCCAGCACAACGCATGGCTTAAGGCATGAGGTTATTCCACAGGTTAGACTTTTTCTATTCCAATCAGCTATAGTGTTAGTATTTTCTGAATATAGCATGGTCTTCCTGACTCAGGCATTTTGCCTGTGGTTTCTATTTAGGAAGGAAAGTGGATTTTTAAAAAAAAAAATAGATACTGGGCAATGAACATAGCTCAGCAGCACATCGCCTGCCTGGCAAACACAAGGTCCTGAGTTCAATTTCTGGTACCAATATAAAAATAAATAACTGCCACTGTTTTTCTAAACTGGTGCCTATACATGATGCCTTCCTATAACTAAACTGCCTTTAATCACAGCTGGATTATCACCTTTTACAAGAAGCTGTAAACAGCTGCTCTGGGTGACACAGACTTTTCTCCAAATCTCTTTCTCCAAATCTTTGCCTTATGAAGCCTATAGGAGGGATTATTCTGTACCCCTCTTTTGCACATCTCACCACCTTGGCAGAATAGTGCAAATGTAGAACAAAATAAAGGCCAGCTGATGATTAGAGGAGAAGCAAGACATTCACAGTCTACTAATTTAAATAAGTGTAGGTCAGTTATACTCCAAAATCTAAATTGGCATCAAGTGGAAGTGTGAGATGTAGGTGGAACGCATTTGCCTTCACACCACACTGCTATCATAACCACAAGGCCAAGATAAGTACTTAACTTGTATTGAGTAATTTGCTAAATGTTTCATCCATAATGTGTTTCATACTTACAACAACCCCAAGAGCTACTATTACATACATTTTACGGGAAACTAAATCTCAGCAAGACTGCATGACCTGAGCCAAGATCATAGAAAATAACTGATGATGAAGTTGAATGTGGAAATCATGCCTTTCTAATTCCAAAGGCCTATCCTTAACTTCTATGCTAAGTCACTTCAAGATTATACACAAAAACAACTATGAATGAAGGGCATGCGCTGATTTAGACTCACGAAATGAATTCACAACATTCACAAGCAAAACTCTCTCCTTTTCTCTTGGACTGTTGCTTATTGACAATAAATTCAATACTATGGAATTCCCTGAAAGTCTTAGTTCCTTCACTTATGATGAGAATCTGGAACGTTTTGCCCCTACATGTGTGATCCGCTGGCCACATGCACAGGAATTCAAAAGGCATGCACAGCTTGTACGACTGCAAATGTTGCTCTCTGTGACACTCCACATGCTCTTTACTCAAGAATTCAGCGGGAGTGTCCCTAAATATCTGCAAAGCATCTTTCTGCATTCTCAGAACTTCACGCACGTGGCGAAGTCCGGGTTCTGTGCCCTGGTGAGGCCTTGAAATCATACATCTATGCATGCTTATACACAGGTCAGAGTTTTCTCTTCTTTCCAAGAAGCAATGATCACCTTTGATGTGCAGATCAGAATATACACAAATGGGGTATTTTTGATATGTGCTTTCAGAAGACTATTTTAATCAGGCCAGAGACACTGCACCCCAGCTCCTTTGATTCTTTAGGTAGGTGCTCTTTCTAGAGATATAAAGATGGATCATAAGATAAAAAATTTCAATTTGGTGGGTTCTTCCTACATCTTCACAAGCATCTTTCTGCACAGCTAGGTGGTAGGAATTATTTAAAATAAATTATAACCTCGTTTCAAAGTTACCTATTAGGAAACATGAATTTCAAAAGTGGGCATTCTTGAGGCATTTGAAAGGAAAAAACTGCAACAAATTAGTTCAAGTTCATTGATGAGAAACACACCAAAGCTCTCACTCAGGAATCAAGAGAGTTCGTGGATGGTGGCAAATGAATTACAAATTGTACATCTTGTACTTCGAGGAAGAGTTCATTCATGCAACCCAAAATCCAGATTCACCTCTTGATGGCTCTTTTCTGATATAGTGCATTTATTTGCCTAGCCCAAAATTATGCTTTATTTTCCTGGCCAAAATTACAGCCCAAAAATATTGCTTGGGATAAACAAATTTTATGTACTGAAAAATTCTTTGTAAGCTGTTCATGATAACAGGACTTGTTCTGCTTATATAGCACATGAGCTACAGAAAGGAAGTACCCATCTCCTTTCTCCCCAGATTGTAGTTGTGTGTGTGTGTGTGTGTGTGAGAGAGAGAGAGAGAGACAGAGAGAGAGAGAGAGAGAGACAGAGACAGAGAGAGAGAGACAGAGAGAGACAGAGACAGAGAAAGAGACAGAGAGAGGGGAGAGGTAGCTTCTTGAGCACTGACAATAAATCAGAGATTTATAAAAACCCACTGAAACCTGAAGAGCTTTTATTTTCCATTTAGGGAAGTGACTTGGGATAAATGAGGGACTTTAAATCTCCAAGTCTAAGTTTAGATCCCAACTCATTACTTATTAACAGTGTGGTCTCTAACCCTCAATCTTTGCCTCCATAAATAGGGAATTCTCATGCCTATGCTGCACAGTTGTTCTAAGGATCACAAATAATGTAGGTAAATTCCTACTAGGAGAGAGAAGAGCAATTAATGGCAGCTGTCATTTCTATGTTGGGTGAATCGATATATATGGTGGACCATTTCTTCTCATTACTGTCTTACACAATGGCCCCCAAATGACCCCTAATGACATAGTACAGCACCAGGTCATGGAAAGTGGTAGATAAATAGACCATGGAGGGTCAGGAGTTTATCTCTTCATCCTCTTGACCACACCCCTTTTTGGGGGCTATACCACTTAGAAACCTCCAGGGTAGAAACGTTACCTATAATCTCCTCATAAAATAACTCCAAGCCTATGCTAACTGTGTCACATCAGAAGTTACACAGAGGGGCCAGAAATATAGCTCAGTGGCCCAGCATCTGCATGACAAGCACAAAGTCCTCAGTTTGATTCCTGGTTCCAAAAAAAATAGAAATTACAGAGGTCAGCTCCTTACTTCACATTCTTTTGGAAAGATTTTGTGCATTTTTTTTTTCTTTTTCCTTTTTATCGGTACCGGGGATTGAACTCACAACTGCTTGCTTGCAAGGCAGGTGCTTATGCTGCTGAGCTAAATCCTTCTTGTGCATTTTCAATCACTGATTTTTAAAGCATTAACCCAACGTGGGCACTGTAGGGAGGGAGGAACCAAAAGAGGGGAAAAAAGCAAGAAAGCAAATGAAAATCAGTCCTTAAAGAACCGAGGTGGTTTAAATGATAGTATTTTTTGAGCATGTGATTTTAACAAATAACATTAAACCAAGAGCAGTGGCAGACACCAATGGAGGAGAGCCGAGCCTTGTTTTCCTCACTGCTGTGACCTGGCAGCACATGAGGTCCGTTGTTCAAAGGTGCTGCAACCCGATATGTGTGTTAAGAGGTCACCGAGGGGAGCCATGACAGAGAGCTCTAAGAACGGCAGCCTCACCTCAGACCCTGCTATTTCCAGAGGCCCCGCCTCACCTGTCTCATTCATCACTGCTGCTGAAAAGGGTTTATTTAGCCGGAAGTGTGGGAGCCTCAGTGAGGACTGAGCAGCTTAGACTGAGACTTCAACCAATGCTGCTGAAACTGGGGGGGGAGCTATTTTGGCATTACCTAGTCACCTGCCACTTGGTAGCAAACATTTCCCCATACAGCTTTAACAATGACACGCATTGCTATCCTTAGAGACTGTCACAGCTCTGTGACTCTCCTTCTAAAAGAAAGCTAAACTGGGAAAAGAACTAAAAAGAAAAATGAACTAAAACAACCAACTCACGATGAGGGAGGACTGATGATCCCAGTACTCAGGAGGCTGAGGCAGAGGATCTGCATGAGTTTGGGGCAAGCCTGGTGAGTTCAAGGCCAACCTGAAATGCCCAGTGAGACTCTGTCTCAAAAACTCAAAAAATAAAAAAATAGATTTTAAGTGCATGATGAAATATCATATACACGATTACTGAGTCACACAATATGTAATTTTAAACATCCTCTGTGGAATTAGAAGAAGGTAGAAGGGTGGAATTTGAGGGGTACAGCCCATTCCCCCAAAGCACAGTGTACCTGAGGCGTCATTGAGGCTAAAGGCGATGCGTACTGGCTTATCCGCAGGTACACTTGCTGTGCTGATCATGTGGGCACCTGAGGCCCGGCCTTCTCCTGGGTCTTCCAGCTGTAAGGACAAGAGAAAGCCATTGTCACCTTACACAACATCATGCCTCTGAATATTTAGAAGCCTTTGGAAATTCAAAGGGAAAGATGGTAAACTTCCTGCATCAAAATTTTCATTGGCCCCCGTTTTAAAAATTTTTTTCTGGCTTAGACAAAAATTAATTTGGTGATACACACCTAGAATGAATGAAATGTAGCAAAAATTTCTATATACCTCACTTTTTCAGTTTCTCATCACACTAAGCAGTCAATCATAGCTTTAAGGTGACATACAATAGTGTTTCATTTTTAATCAAATGGAACAAAGAAGAGACATAGTTTTAATAGGGTATCAGGAAGCTTCAGATTTGTCAATCATTTCACCCTCAAAAGTCTAAATCTAAATTATCAATGTGAAAGTGACAAAAAATTAATATCATGGGACCATTTAAAGAGTACCAAAGACCATTTTAAATTATCCTACAACAGTGTTATAAATATTATTCGCTTTAAATATCTGACTATTTATAAATATAGCAAATATTTCTATCTATGATTTTGCTTCTTAACATTATATAATAAAAGCAAAAGATACAACTTTAAAACATCCTATAGGTGTTGAACCCTGTGTATCAAATTATCATTTAATTAATAAACTTACAATTAATGTGAAAACGTCCTATACAAACAATGGGAAAGTAAAAACATGCGTGAATATTCCTGTGTCATAAAAGAATTCAGCCCAAATATTGTACTCTTTAACCGAGATATTTGGTAATTTACTGTTCACCCAGACCAAGAAAAGATTATAAATACATGATAGCTTTGTTCTTTAAGCACATATATTTAACTTTTCTATTTTGGGTCTTGCTTTCCCTACATCATCTATTTTCCTCATGTAGACAACAAACCAAAAGACCTGAATGATATTTTAAGAGAAATGTCTCTAAAAATGGCAAAATATAAATAAGCCCTTTAGCCATCTTTAGCAAAATTCTGGGAACTGCTGGTAACAGGACTTTTTCTCATACATAGCGAGGCTTTTGACTTTTTCCCATAACTTTCATGTATCCAAAAATAGTGTCCAGGACACTGGATTTTGTTTTACAATATTTACAGAGCCAAAGTCAATGCATGTACATATGAGATACATTTAGACATACGTACATTTGCAATTATCATAGCCAGTACATAGAAAGAAAACACGCTCCTATGAAACACCTAGGACAGTTTGGGAGAAAACCCAGCGATAGTTTAATCACCCATTTAGGATCATAGTGAGCCCATTCATTCATGCAAGACCACAAGTACCAGTGAATCAGTCAGCCCTCCACTCTCTCTCTCTGTCATTCTAAGTTACAAAGAAATGATAACTTGAAACATTTGAGGATAGAGTCACTGACTCAGGGTTTATTTTACCATTACTGTCACACGTTTCCGTCGTCCCTTCTGCTTAGAATGAAGCGTTTTGTTAGTCACCTGTTTCTGGAGAGAAAGCCAACAAACTGTCTCAAATTCAACAAAACAAAGACTCACAACCCCCTAAAGCTACAGCTAGAAAGAAAAGTCTTCCTGTTAGACATTATACATGCTCCAGACCACCTTAGCATCACGTCTAAAGATGTAAACCTCCCTGCCCTTTTGGGCAAACCTCCCAGCATTTTGCTGCACCAAGAAATAAAGCATGAGGGGTGGAAATTTGCCTCTGGATTTCTGGTGAGGTTTCCAGCTACAGAAAATGGATTTGGGGAGGCCAGCTAATGACATCCCACCCCTCACACAACGGAAATATCTGTCTGCCTCCAAAAAATGGTGTTGAGATTGGGTGGACTCTGCGTCCACAGAGATTCGACCACGAGGCCCTGGAACCCACTTGCCTTTTCATCACCCCGCTGGGAACGCCGGCCACCGCTGCTTCTCTCTGCTGGAGGCTGTAACGAGGCTGTGGTTAGGCTGCCGGGCTGCAAGCATTAGTTGGGTTTTCACACCTGCCGCCTTACCTCACTTAGTTGAGTGTCTGCGCTTGTGTAATCCAGGGCCAGCCGCTGCCTTGGCCAGTCGTTGTCTTTGTGCAGCAAAGACTCAGTGAGCAGGCGGGCTGCACCTGCTGCATAACAGCCCCTGACTGACACTCTGAGCAGCAGGGACAGCTGTCCGCACAGGCCGCTACCTGCTCTGCACCAGACCCCAGCCTCCCCCGGGAGCCCCGTTCCGCTTCCCTCGCGACCCTTCTCCCCTTTCCTCACCTCACCCCACTCGCAGCCAGGATGCTGTCATGTTTCTAGAAAAAGCAAGCGCAAAAGAAAACCCTCCTCCTGTCAGAGGCATTGATAAACAGCGAGTTGTGGAGAGTCCAAACATTTTAATTCATTAGTCCTGGCAAACCTAAAATACAAGCAGACTTGCTTCACAGGACAGGAATGTCTTCAGCGTGACCCAATCGGTGTCTGTGTCTATTCCAGCAAACTGGCAAAGACAGCATGACACGAGTCAGCAAAAATGTGGGCCGCTCCAATCAGCTCAGCCAGACCCAGCCAACTTGGACAGGCCACAGGCCAACTCCCAGATGACAGCAGCGATGAGCCCGGTGAGAACGTGAGGTTTGAGGCTGAGCCCGTGTTGGGCTTGATGACTTGATCCAGTCTACAAACGCAGCCAAGCACAGAAGGGGTGAATGATAAATAGGATCCGAGCAGCAGGATTTTCAGCCTTTTAAACAATTGCAAGCTTGGATGCCAAGAGTATGTAGAAAGAGTTTGACCATGCTGCTAAGGTGGAACAAGTAAAAATAAACAGATATGCAAGTGCAAAGGTAAACCATAGGCTGGAAGGGAATCTTTGCAAATGTACATCAGATAAAGGACTGAGATCTAAAGCATACATGTAACTCCTAAAATTCAACAACAGGAAAACAAATGACTCAATCAAAAATGAGCAAAAGATTCAAACAGTCACCTCATTAAAGAAGACAGATGACCACTATGAAAATGTGACCAGCTACATAAGTAATTAGGGGATTATAAATTAAAGCAAAATGACATGCCATACACACCCACTAGAATGGTCAGATTCAAAATATGACAACATCAAATATTTGTGAGGGTTAACAGAAAAGCAGGAATCACCTAGAGGGGATGTAAAATGGTACAGCCCTTTTAGAAGAAAATTGGACAGTTTTACAAAACTGAGCATACTCTTACCAGATGAAGCAGCAATCATACTCCTTGGTATTTTCACAAATGAACTGAAAACCTCATTTCCACGTGAAAACCTGCACACAGGTGCTTCTGACAGCTTTATTTGTAATTGCCGAAAGTTGGAAGCAACCCAGATGACCTCCAGGAGGTGGATACATATACAAATGGTAGTACATGCAGTAATGGGATATTATTCAGGGTTGAAGAGAAAGGTATTATCAAGGCTTAGGGTGGGGGGAGATGTGGAAGACCTCAGTGGGTATTACCCAGTAAAAGAAGCTAAATTGTAAAGACTAGTCACCGATTCCAGCTATGTGACAATCTTGGAAAAGTGAAATCATGGAAAAAATAAAAGATCAATGGCTACCAAGGGTTCAGGATCATGGGAGGAAGGAATAAATAAGTGAAGTTCAGAGTGTCTTTAGGGCAGTGAAAATATTCTGTAGGACACAGTAACGGGATATGCATGTCATTACAGATACATAAAAAGCCATGGAATTGACAGTCAGAAAGTGAACCCTGACATCGTCCGCAGTAGTTAGTTAATAATGTGGTAACATTGACTCATTAATTGTAACAATCCACCATATCCATTCAGGATATTAATAAAGGAGAAATTGTGTGTGGCAAGGATGAGGAAACATATGCCAGCACGGTGGGTTTTACTCATTTTTTTTCTGTAGACAAAACTGCTTTAAAAATATTAAACGAAAGGGTTTAGCAGGTTTCCTTGATCAAATGAATGGAAGGCTAATTTGTTATTATATATGCAGCCATAAAGGTGCATGAATTCCCACGATTAAAACAGTTGCATTAACTCCAGGTTTTGTTTGTTTGCTTCTTTGTTGTGGCACTGAAATTTAAACCAAGGACTTTTACATTTAACGATGACCCCAGCTCTTTCCTGTTTTTTTTGTTTTATTTTGAGACAGGCTCTCACTATGTTGCTAAGCTGCTCAGGCTGGGCTTGAACTTCTAATTCTCCTGTCTCAGCCTTCCAGAGTACTGGTATTAGAAGTATATGCCACCATACCCAACTATAAACCTACTGTATCCAGGAATATTCATGACTATTTTAATGTTATCTATTGGTTAATAATATCAATTTGCATAACCCACTGTAATTTATGTAATGAATTTCATATCTATTATATTAATTTCATCTTCCACACAATCCTACAGTCATGGTCAATGGTGCCATCTATGTTTGATGGATAAACAAACTAGGGCTCAGAAAATTTAAATAACAGGCTGAAGGATAAAAGATAATTATAGAATAAAGGACTTAAAATGGGATTCAGTTTTCTAATCTTTGATTCATGCTATTTCTGCGATAGGAGGATACATTCTGTATTAACAATTTAATTGATTTTTTTTTCCTAAGAATAAGTGTGACTCTCAGCTTTTGGCTGGAGAAAACAAAGCTGTAACTTTCTACAGTGATGCAGCATCCTGGTTGATTTGACATCAGTCATCTTTTTCTTGATGCCTATTCAATCCCATGAAGTCAAAATTGTTAATAATATCTTATGTGCCAACAGGGAAGTGGGTACCATATCTGTGTGGGCTCCCAAGCCAGCTGCCTGGATCTGACTTCAGAAAAGCTGGTGATGACATTGAAATTGCCAAGGCAATCAGTAAGTAGAAGCATCTGAGTGCCAATGAATTGACAGTTCAGAGCAGAAAGACCTAGAATGAGCGAGCCCCTTTCTCTTCTGCATTGATCAGAGAAGCCACTGCAGAAACATCTAGAGATAGAAAGGGACAGCTGCACATTGAACATAATGAAAACATCACTTTCTGTGATGTTGTCAACAACGTGTGGCAGAGGCAGCATCTCTTTGTCACAGAGAACTGTCCAGTGTCATTAATGTTAGTCTCCAAGCGTGGGGTACGATGCTGATGGCTGCATCCTCGCAGCATTAAAAATGACATCAAGAGAGGTGTGACAGATCACTTGACAAACAATAATCAAAAGTGACAGATCACTTGACAAACAATAAGAAAAGACCCAAAAGTGTATTTAACAGCCTTAATGTGCTCTTCAGAGTCTGATTATATAAATCCAACATTTTTGTGATCATAATTATTATTTAACAACCCTTTTGTTCCCTGGGGAGCAATGATGTATTTCTTGACTCCTTATCCAAATATTTTCAAAAGAGCAACAAATCCAAAACGCTAGCAAAATCCCTTCCCACAACTGAAATCCAAAATAACTGCATGGCATTTTAAAAATGCAATTGAATCACACTAACTCAGCCCAGAAAGGGCAAGTGTGTGCATCAAAACATGGATAGATTAGCCGTATGTTTCTCAGTACCGCCAAAATGTATTAATTTTTATTTTATTCTTTTCAGCAATTAATGTTTTCAGGGCATTCAGCTTTCTGTACCTGTGACAAATATCTGAGACAAATCCATTTAAAGAAAGGAAAGTTTATTTTGGCTCACGATTTGAAAGATTTCAGTCCACAGTCATGTGGTCCCTATTGGGTTGGGCCTGTGGCAGCAGCACTGTATATCATGGCAGGAGCACTTGGTGAAGAAGCCGTGACCTCGTGGCAACTGGGATGAAAAGAGACAGAGGAAGGGGCCAGCGTCCCAAATTCCCTTCAAGGCCGTACTCCCCTCTCCCTTGCCAGGAGACCGATCTTCCTTCCACTGGGTGCACCTTTGAAAGGTTCCATCACCCCCAGTAGTGGCACAGACCTTCAACAGATAGGCCTTCATCTGAGATGAATACACACTTCTCAGATGAAGAAATACAAATGGCAAATAAATACATGAAAATATGTTCATCATCATTAGTCATTAGAGAAATGCAAATTAAAACCACACTGAAATTCCATCTCACTCCTGAAAGAATGGCCAGGATCAAGAAAACCACCAACAACAAATGCTGGAGAGGCTGTGGGGAAAAAGGAACTCTCCTACACTGTTGGTGGGAGTGTAGACTGGTACAACATTTGTGGTCAGTCTGGAGATTTCTCAAAAAACTGGGATTGGAAGTCCCATTTCTTCCAGCTTCTAGGCATATTCTAGGCATATTCCCAGAAGAAGAACTGAAAGCATCATACCACAGTGATATATGTGCACCTATGTTTATAGCAGCACAATTTGTAATAGCCAGATCTTGGAAACAACCCAAGTGTCCATCCAGCTGAGGAATGGATAAAAAAGTTATGGCATTTCTATACAATGGAGTACTACTCAGCTATAAAGAAGGATCACATTGAGATATTTATCAATAAATGGGCGCAGCTTGAAACCATACTCATAAGTGAAATAAATCAAACTTGCATCTGTGAATACCGAATAGTTTCCCTAGTGTAGGAAATGATTCCAATATATAAAAGTATGTGGTAACCATGATCCCCCATTAAGTGGCCTTGAAGCCTTATAAAGTTTTCGATCATTAATTGGAATGGCTTTATTCAGGGCTGTTTGATATTATTGCCTGTGATGCAATGAACAGCTATTTTGAAGAAAAGAAGACATCATAATAGCCAGTGCTGATTTAATACCATCTTGTTTTGAAGCCCCACCAAACTATGGCCCTTCTGTCTCCATTGGTTTTATCATGTTGTGTCTTGCTGGATTTTATTATATGTGATAGTATAAACAAAAATTGACATAGGCAAAGAGATAATATAGAAACCATTGTTAGTTTTTATGTTAGCTGGTTCTAAATACTCTACAATGCTTTCATCCAGTTGAATGGTTTTACACTGCCTTGATATGTTTGATGCTATAGTATACGAAGTTATATTCAAATATTTCAAGGAAAAAGACACTATGGTAACTACTATTAAGTCAGGTTATTTGGTGGTGAAGCACTAGGTTGCTGAAACTGTCATGCTTTAACCTGTATTGTTATGTTGTTGTGCCCTCTTTTATCTCAATCTCTCCCTTATTCATTAAAAAAAATTTAATTTTTTTTATTACTTTTTTAAACTAAGGGAAAAATACAAAAAAACTAGCAGGATATATTATAGTAACTTTTTTGATTTCCTATTAACTTGATTTGAAGTCCTGTAATACTCCCACTATCTTGTTTTGACTGATTTGACTCTGTTCCGTTCTGCATGATAATATCAAGTATCAGAGTATAGGCAACTAGTTTGAAGGCAATAAGATTCACTATGATTGATGCCCATTCTGGTTTGACTGTCATCCTCTTTTGAAGTCCTGTAATGTTTACAATGTTTAGGTTTTATTGGTCTTGTTCTCTACTGTTTT